TTACTGCGAAGTTGGGCACCAAAACGGTGACACTAAGACACCCTGTATCGCTTAACTCACCCCATACTGATTGATAAATTTATTTTATCCGATATGTATGTTCATTCGTTCACTTCAAAATGTGTTCGTGCCTATTCATTGTTTGCTATCGAGAAAAAACATTTGTTGGCGTAATCTTCCTCAGTGGTTTCAAAATCTATGATTTGCTAAACCAACTGGGTAGAATTTCGCACTGAGGAAAGAACATGAAACAATTTAATACACAATATACCGGTTCATGATAATGAATGAGAAAGAAGCCAATATCGAAGCGATCACAAATAATAGGCACTAAACAAGTTATCAGATTCGATAATTTTGAAAAACAAATAAGCAAATTCACTGAATAATTCACGATGGATCATAATTGCTGTGCAACACCAATTACATAAGGGTGAATTTCCAGAAAGTGTTTATGAGTAATCACAGTTCAGAAAAAGTTTTTGTGTAATCGTTTCGAGAGTGTTGCAACTGTGTAGCATTGCCTCTAGGATTGGTTGACACATTCTGGAATTGTTTCATGAGGGAGAAAAGTGTTTTTCTTCATCTTGCAATTAATTCACTGCAATCCGTTCGAAAAACTATCACATCTATGAAAGCGGCTACGATGTGCTTAATCAATTATTATTGGACACTTTTATACTTGTGCAATCGAACGAGATTATCCTCACGATAGACTGCAGCCAAGAAGCCTTTATTGGCTGATAGCGCATACAACGACTTGTGCGCGAGTGCGGCATCGTCGGTTGCCTCGAAGCTGTCACCAGAAGTGGAAATTTGACGGATTTTGCCATCTCTCACGTCGTGAACGAACACTTTCTTCTCCTCATCCACACAAACTGTACCGGGCCTTTCGACGGGATTCATTGCACGTCTTATCGCTATCGATGAATCACGCACACTCAACACGTACATTGCACCACGACGTTCCTCGATCAAAAGCACCTCTGTGACTGGGCCAATCACACTCAGAACCTGAACATTGGCCCATTCATAATCATAGGCTAAATTATCTTGATCGCTTAATGATGGCCTTTGAAGCCGGCCAGATGCGTGACAACCTCTGACAATCTGGACGAGAGGCAGTTAGTTGCCTAAGAATGAAAATGTTGTCAAAAAGGAAAGTTATCTCAAGTCGGTATCGAAAACATAAGTACGAATATACATAATTAGTTTGATCTATTGGCCGAAAAATCTTTACCGTTCATCGAAACATCATTATCAATCAACTTTATAACGCATACACATACAGTACCTGAACGTCAACGAAAGATTGACCACGTTTCTGGTCCAGTTCGGTCCATCTGCCCTCAGCCGACAACTCGAAAAGTGAACTGAACGTTTCACCAGCCACTGCAAAATAGATATTTCCGTTCGATGCGGCGCAAAGTCGTTCGCGTAATATAGTCTCCTCTTCAATCCATTTGGGTCCTTCGATTTTAGCAATGAAGTTCAATTCCGAATCAAATTTCATTATGAAACGTCTCCACGGAACTGCGCTGCTTTCACGGACCATCATTGACAACTGCAATATTTGATTGTGTATCTTCTCTCATTTTTTGAACTAGTCGCACTGCTTGTTTGCTTCACAGCGCCTTTTCACTAAAAGACATTCAATCTGCATCAGTGCGATCTGCATCCTTTTCCATATAAATCTAACGAAGTTGTAAGCGAAGTTAAGGTTGGAATCGCCTCAAAATTTGGACTTGGAATGCATCGTTACTAGCCAATCATTCGGTTTCAATCAAAAAGTTGCCACTCGAAATGGTGACTTCCCAAATGACAGCCAAATAAAGTGTATCTCGATGTGTACTTTAGACGATGGTTCGGCTTAAATCATTTTTTATTTGTTATGCCATTGATAACGTAATTAACGGTTATATTTGCATCGAAAAAAATGGATTAGCGATGATGCGATGCGACTGAAGCAAAATGAAGAAAAAATGCAATGAAACATTTTCAAGCACTCACGAGAATATGTCCGTCTGGGAGGAGGGTACCTGCTTGTGCCCATCTCCAGTCCACATTCGACACATTTCGTATTAGATCCGAATTCAGTGTGAACAAAAACAAGCCAAGTTGACTATCTGACACGAAAATATTTCCGTTTGGCAGCACGAGTGACGATGTTGGTTCTTTCAAAAAGCATTCTCCAATGCGAACACATTCCACATTATGCCATTCAATTCTGTGTTACAATCATTCATTCATATAATTAGTGAATTCATTCAATCAGTTCTCTATTGCCTGCACAAAAAATTTCCGTCAGAAATTTACAAGAATGAAGAAAGTTTTTGTTGAAATCAAACTGTGAGAACTTGTAAATGCTAAATGAAGATGTGATGCCATCTCAACGTGTGAATCAGTGGAATGAATGAAATGCTGATAGAACATTACCCAGCTTTTTGCTTCTTCAGCTTTTCGAGCTCAGCTTCCTTACTTTTCAACAAGGCAACCTCGTTTTCCAACTGAAATTCGAGATCCGAAATAACGGGATAGAGAAAACAATAAATATTTATTCCTACTGCGTGTACTGGGGATATTGCTGAAGTAAGTTTTTGACTGTTACTTTCGAAAGTTACAATATTTGGGTCGGTAGAAGCGGGTGGGGGGGGGGGGGGGGGGNGGGGGAGAGATAGAGAGAGTAGATTGGGTCGGTTGCTACGGATAAAGTTTTCGGTCGATGACTACTGATAAAATCTTGCGCTTCCCACTTCTAATGGTGAGAACAATTGTTCAGTCACCTCGTTCTTCAGTGTCTGCGTCAATCCACCCAATAATCAGTGTGAAATGTTTGAGGTGCACTTTTTTCTCACCATTCCACTCCTATTGATATCACAAAAAGTATTCATTTCATGACGAGCCAAATTTTGCTCGGAAAATTGCAACTGTTTCTCGAAAGCAACAAAGCATTACAACCTGATCTCGTCGCTTGGTGAGTTTCTCGTTTTCTTCAGCAAATTTCTGCATTTGTTCGGTCACCTGATAGCGTTTGATCTGTTCATCTTGCAATCTGAATAAGTATTATGTTTGACTCGCTTGATTTTTAAACGTTCTAAAATGAACGTTTTATATATAATTTGAACTGCTGAATTTTGAACTTCATACTGATGATCACTCTTCTGAGCTGAAATCCTCAGTGCTTCTTAGTATCATTTCGCTTGCTTCTAATACAGGCCTCCTTTCATCGTTTTCCTAACAGCTCTTGCATCCTCAACACACCTTCCGTTCCTGATGATCCTCCTAGAGTAATTACTGCTAAGCATTTCTCTCGATAGGTTCCGGCATTGATTAAATGAACCAATTATGAATTATCACTATCAACTTACGATATTTTCCACTATCATATTGACGTGAGCACTGAAGAAGGAAACGAATGTGCATGACGTGAGACTTTGCTCATTGTTGATGAATACTTATAGTTAGTGTGAAAGAACACATAGGCGGAGCATATATAAAGAAATCACGGTTATTAAAGCTTTTTCAACGATTTAATTAAGCCGAGAATATTGTCAGCTCGTTCGCTGAATAATCAACACTTCATTCGCATACAGCCAAACAATTCTGATTCATAAAAAAATCCGTATCAGAATCACTATCTATTAAGCGGAGCACTTAACGATCCAATACATTGCTAGCACTTTACACAACCCACTTAACTGTTTGCATTCACCTGGTTCTTCTTCACGCAAAAACGAACATTTTCAATATTCTCACACATAAATTCCGCTAAATATGAAATTTGATCTTCCATCCGACATTAACCCTTTCTAAACCCCCCCCCCCCCAGCACAGTACATCTTGCGTAAATCTTTCATAAAGTGTAAAGGTTAATCCCCTCCGCAGATTTTCGTAAACAAGTGTGTGGTAATTGTTTCGCTTATCAAAGATAAGAAATCGAAAATTAGTCGCATAAACATAAGTGAATGTTAAAAAGATGCAGATTTACTTCTACAATCGACTCTCTCAATGAATGATGCTTTATGGAGTGACGAAAGTGGAAAGCCATTAGAAATTGAAATGAATCGGTGATCACAAAATGATCAGTTGAATTGATAACATACTTTATCAGCGAAGTCTTGTGTTGTTGCTTGAGACGATCACAAAAATCGCATAAATTGGTCAGAAGATTTATCGTCTGTTTAGTATTTTCGGCTAACTTGCGTTCATATTCGACAATGTCGAACTGTCTATTCGTGAGAATATCGTTCAGGCTCGGGTCTTCAATCATCTGAACCAAATTCAGTGATTATACTCAATCAACTGCTCATTTCTAAGAATATCAAATCGAGCGGGTAAGTTTATACAAATTCCAAGAAGAAATTGACATCAAAATATCGGCGATATCTTCAAAAATTTTATTGCATATATCAACTGACATCTATGCTCACAGCCAGCAGTGCATTTCATAAATACGATAATATTAAGTTCAGACGGATGATAAGTAATCAGTGGATTGGTTGTTTAGTGAAAAGAGGAATCGAGATAAGAACCTGGTTCAATGAACCAACAATGTCCATCGGATTCGTTGACGCATCAAAATTCTGCTGAGATGTCGTCTGCGCAGAGTTACTTATTGTCTTCACCATTGTCGTTGAAGTGGCAGTATTCAAATTAGTAGCAATATTCGCATTATTCGCGGGTTGTTCTTCTTTAATCCATTCAATTGGTTCTTCTTGACGGAGTTGAACGTTTGTCTGATCACTTGTAGAAGCCATCACCTGATGCGAAAAGGATATAATATGGATATGACGTGGTTTATTGGAGTACTCTCGATATAGAATATTCGTTTTGCGGTTTGATAGACAAATTGATTTGGTAGTATGATATCGTTCTTAGTCTTCTTATAATTAGCAGATGCAGTTATCAAAAAATCTGTGGTAGATAGAATGCGATACTGCACAATATCTGATATATCAATGATAATGATCTACGTAAGCTCACACACAGAGAGTCGCTCACTCGAGCACAGAAAATAAAGCAATGAGCAAATGAGGAACAAGTTAAGTGAACGTAAGTGAATGAATGAAATGACTGTTTCAGAAAGAACTGATTTTATTCCGTAGAATTATTGCTGCACTCATTCGAACATCTGATAAGATTTCATCTTCGCTGTTTGTTGCCACTATAAGCACCTTCCTCAAGTGACAACTGCTGTGCTGCTACTGCAACAGCAGCAACAACACAATCTATGCTGCTCACCTACTCAGTTTCCAGCATTTCTTCACACTTATCACGCACAAAATCATTATCTACTTACTAAAGCTAATACCTTTCATCCTCATTACCATCATTCTATAGTCTCCCCACACTCACTTCAAATCTCATTCAATTCAATCTTTGCTCGGCGTTTGTGAAGTGAGCTATCTGAGCATCCAACTGCTCCTCACATCAGTTCTTAATCTTTATCAATTGCAGACAATTTATACTTATAGCTAGATCTCACTCAGTACATTTATCACGATTAAAAATATATCACACATTCAATATTTCATGCCAGCTCGATGCTGCATAACGCAAACATTCGTTTTCTTATTGTTGTTGTCGATTTGCTATCGGAAAACGCAGACAAAAACCAATCACATCGTCTGTTGGTTCTCAAGTTATGATCAATTGATCTGATCCGAGGAATTTTTCAAATTTCGTTCATTAGTGTAAGTTCACCTGTTAAGTGTAAGTTGATCAGTGCGCAAATCTGATTAATGTTTTGCTCAGATTCTGCATTCACAATGGAACCACTTCAATGATTAAAACTGGCGATTGATTCTATATGTGTCATGATCACGTGAGAAAATCTTCTTGAACGATATCAAACTGGCAATATTTAATCCGCAAAAGTGCTGATATTCCGAGTGATAATTGATTAGAGTTTGACATGTTGATGCTAAATGCATACGTACATACGTACTTTATGTATTGCTGATGTTATGTGAAACAGGTGATGGTTGGCTGCGTTTTTTGTTGTTGTTGTTGATGTGCTATCAGCAGCATCAGAGCAAAGAACTTTGGTGTACTCTGTCGAACACAACTCTAATAATTCATCCTCAACGGCGATGAAAACGAAACTCGACTCTGAATTTTTTGAAACAAAGAATTTCGTATTATGAGTATATTTCAGATTTTACGAGAGAGTCGAAAAGATTCTCGAAAGTATAGTGAATTGCAAATGAAATGATCAAGCCAGACTCTACTACTGCATCATTTTTGCTGCTCACACATCTTAGTTTATGTGCTGCCGAATAAATGCAATCATAAAAATATCATTTCAGTGAGATCTGATCACTGATTCATAATTCACAAGTCGTTCCTTAAGTTGATGATTGCTCAACGATGCGTTCGAAAAGTACTTCGATAAGCTCAAAAAAAACAAAAACAAAACAAATTTGATTGAAATTGACGCAATGCAATAGTATTTCATGTGAATGTGATAACATATTACATTTATTGAAGATCTCTCACTGAATTTTGCAAAGTCATTGAATTCGTTCAGAAGTTGTCATTCAGTGCTGTTAATCGAAACAAAAACCTGACGGATCGCAAAAATGCTGACGTATACATAGTGGAATAACCAAGAAATCTATGTGAAATGCTCTTTAGATAACTGTGCAATCGTTCATTCATTCGTACATTACAATCCAGAAAAGATGATCAATTTGAACGCATTACGCACACAATCACTTCAATTATCCGAAGCGAATATACGAACTTTTTCGTTTGTCATTATCTGATCGGCCGAATCGCACGAACGCAGACTTTCTCTTTTCCACTTCCTGCAAACGTATGCAATAACCAACGTTCATTTCAAAATTCACACTGAATCGTTTGATCAAAAGGCGTCGTTTATTACTGAAGTCATGCTTTTTAAAGCAATCAGTGAAAGACCGCAGTTTTCAGTTCGTTCAACGAGCCCTGAGAAGAGAATATTTATTTGCATTAATTCACACATATTAATTCAGTTCACCGTTCGATAATTTTCATTGATAGTTGTGTCGTAACAGGCTATGGGTCTCTCTGCTATTACAACAGGATATGGGTCCGTAAAACTGTTATTATTATTCGCAGATGATAAAACAAGTGAAATGTTGTTCAAATGGAATCAATCATCGAGTTGATCATAACCTTTTCATCGATATCATCTTGACTCGTCTTGTCGTTCGCGTACCTTTTTCCGAACCTTACGAAGGCCGATTTTCGCTTTTCGATCAAACCGGTTTGAGGTGCTGCTAAAAAATGACGAGGGGAAATTTTAGACTACCATTATAACATCTGCTATAACCCTTTTTCATATCAGTGACTGCTGATACTGTAATAACTGTTAGTCCTAGTGGTATCATTCTCATCATATTATAAGTGTCATTATCGTCAGTGCCATTAATGCTATCATTAGATGAGCGCTCGTTATCGCCTATAGATGAGACGTCAGGCAACGTATAAGACCGATTATTGCAATAAACAAGTAATAATGAGATAAATGAGATAAACGATGCGAACCTGGATCAAAACCCAACAGATATTGTATCTCGCTCAATGCACCTTCAAGATCGCTTCGAAGCCGACATAGATGCAGAAATGGTTGCTCTTTGCAAAACTGCTCGCCTAACGATGATGGTAACTGGGCGCTACAAATTGTAGCGATCAAGCCGAACAGAAGTATCAACCAAATGCAACCCATCTGTAAAGTATTATTATTCAAAATGACTTGGGGAGATTCATACATTAGATATTACCACATCACTTTCATAACAACGTTTCGAACAATCAAAAATTCGACTGAGTAAATGTGAACAACAATGATACTTTTAAAACATCTACGCGAATCGAAATAAATATCCATTCATTTTAAATCAACATTCAATTCGTTTACTGATTATCTTCAATTCCTTCAGCCTTTCCAAACATTACACGTTTTTTCAAAACACTGAAAGAGCTGCTTGCAGAATGTTTCAGGAGAACTGTTCGGGAATGCTTGCTGAATAGTTCCGAAGGGGTAATTTTCACTGTGAGTGACTGGTGATGGGGTCGAACGCACCCATAAACAAGGATGTAATCAGATCCTTCTGAACACATCGCTTGAATACAGGTGAAAGCATGAACTCAATCAGCAGCTCATTCTGATCCAAAAATTTTAGTTCCTGGATTTATGGTTATGTCAGTGAATCGTGATTCAGATAAACCGTTAGTGGAACCACACAAGAAATGCTTTTAGATATGGGATTAATTGATGCGATCATTGATGCCAATAACATCCGTTCCGGATATGAGTTCATCTGTATGTAAACTTGATCTCCTAAATAATAACTCCAACTTCATCAGTATCTAGCACATGACTTTATATTATAAAACGATGACATCATATTCTAAATGTGAATGATTCATGTCATAAGCTAAACTTGCACCATATTTTTTCAATATTTGCGCTCAATTTCTACCATTTAATACCTCACAAACGACAAACGAAATGAAAGGAGCTAAAATGAGATCCACCAATGACAATTCAATGTACTCAACCCAAAATTCATGTCCTAATTTAGATGAACATCCAATGTCTTACTACTAGATGAATGCGACAAAACACAGGTTAGATCTGATGAAATGCGATATCTTTTGCAAGTATTTATATGCGTACACTATTGAACCGAATGACTGCAGTTGTTAGGTTTCCGCTGAACTGCTCGAAGCAATTAATAATTCTGGTATGAAGCCGTACACGGTGTCTGCTTTTAGTCATGAATACTTACAACATTCGTGCACTCTTTAAAAACATTCTGAAAAAAACATCGAATGCAACCAATCTTACCGTAATGCAAACATCAATTAGAGTTTTTGCAACGAAGGGAGACCTTTCAGATCTCTCATTATCGTACGATTATCGCCGATTTAATTCTCAATCGTTTCTGCTGAACCGCTGATAGCAACATTTTGTAATGAAAATTCCATTCACAGGTGAATAAAAAGTTTTAATGATGACATTTGAAATGCTCATTAGTTCATCAAGAATTTATGCATGTCGATGTCAATCGCTAGGTGATAGATAGCCGTTAATCATGAAAATGAAGGCGAATTTCGATCAGCATACAGTACTGACGAGCAGCGTCAAATGTTTCATGCATATTTCAATGACGGTCGCTATTCAACTGGACAACTTACATATATGCATACCTAAGCAATTCAGAAGTGACTCAGGAACATTGACATCATAGCGCATTCCGAAGAATCAAACCGAAGCCAGAACCCATTTTCACTGGCTTTGCAAAACAAAAACACAATTTTCATTCGCATAAATGAAATAATTGTACATGCATACTTATATGCATATATTATTGTGACAGTCTGAAAGACCATGCGTGATTTCTGTGAACGAGAATATATATAAACATGCCTATTTCTGGAGCAAATATTCATTAAAATCGATCTATATTCATAGGAATTCGAAGGAACTGATCAAAAATCTAATCGCAACAATCGTCTCAAATCCTCCAGTGCACACGTTTGATTTCGTGCAGAAAATTTCAGCATCGAGAAGGTCTGCTGAACGTATCAACCTAGAACTATGAATTCAGATATCTTCTTCACCAAGTGTTCATCTATTCCATTTGTTATCTGGATCTTGCTCGATGCTGGCTCTCCGAAACGATACCATCAGCAGGATGTATTTGTGACTATCCGAACTCTTTTGTTCATCAACTTTTTTTCCAATGCCTTCATTCCTTCTCCGGTAAAAACTCAGTCATTGAGGAACAAGAAAAAGAAGCATGCAGATTTCAACTGAACCTCGTTTGACCCGAAGGGGGTAGTCAACTTACAGGCGGAATAAAACTGACCCTATTCTCCCACGCTGTATGTGAGCATACTGCATTCAGCTTACGCACATTAATGTATATGATATGCGCAGATCAAATCACTACATACGAAATTTCAGCTAAAGATATTCAACCCGATATCGTGGCCACATTTCTCAGGATGACAAAAAATTGAGCGTTCATTCGTGTTGCTTGATTTTTCGACTTTATTTCTCCGTTTCTTGGCACAGATTCAATCTCGTTATAAATTAGAGTATTTCTGGTTGGTGCCTAGAAAATCTGAGCGAAAAACCGAATAATCCAACGACAACAATAAATGTTGAACTCATTGACATAACAAGTCCAACGTTTTTGACAAGAATTTTGCACAGATTGATGTCTCATTATTATGAACCAGAAGCAGCTAGTATTTCGATAATTCGAAATGTTCGTATTTTTTGCATCACGACGATGCGCATATGACACTGTTCACTGGCAACAACCAATTGTAATCTAACAATGTTCGAGAACTGCTCAAATCAGTCCAATAGAACATGTCAACGTAATACCGGAGGCACGTTATGAAGTTGTTTTATTGCGAACAAATTTATACAACTTTTGGACATCACAAGATTACAATGAAAGTGAATGATAATCAGGATAAAGAGAACGAGATTCTGTCGATGAATAATGCGGATTTTACTCCAAAAGTGAAATGAAGACGGGAAAAAACAACTTGGTTGGGCATGCTTTATTGAGGGCATTTCAAAATGAAGATGACTCAATGAACGTTGGTCATCGACAACAATAATTCAACGAAAAATAACAAATGAAAAGTGAACATGACCACTTAAACAACTACACATCTTAATGCAGTTATGAATTGAAGCAAACGTTTTGATGGCAGCCTAAACAATACAATGGATAACATATCATAATCGATAGACGGCAAATTATGAAGTTATCATGAAAGATCGAAATAGCTGCTAATGTGAGCAATAATTAGGTGATGTGGCTGAACAACAATATTTTATTCGCCAAGCTATTTCGAATAGAAACAATGAAAACTGAATTTTTCTAGCAATTTGAAAAGGATCAACTAGGCAAATCGATAATTTGCTTTTCAGAAAACGCTACTTGTGGACGGTGTATGAACAGATCAACTGAACTACTAACTGTTTCCTCATTGTCAATAACCAGTACATAATAATGATGATCAGAAAAGTTTCATAATAAACTAATAAGCTAATCAATAAACTAATAAGCTAAATAAGCTAATACAATAAAGAAAGGATACAAGATGATGAAGACATAAGCAATGAGAATGATACAATAAGAATAACAGTCTTCGGAGGAACACTCAAAAACTTTCTCATCACGAGCAAACTAATTTGGTCATTTCAAATTTCCCACTGGAAGCACTCTATATCCAATAAAATTATTTTATACCACTAGATCGCTCTAAATGGATTAAAATAGTCTGAGCATTTCAACCTCACGTACTCTGCTTCGTGCAACCCACACCTACGAGATCAACTCGTGAATTTTTCACGACAAATATCAACATGGTGGGATGATCGAGTAGCAATCTGATAGAATGAACATTCGTTATTTTCATCAATGACGAATCCACACTAACCAGACATTTTCCTCTCATTCATTTCAGAAATATGATCATTTTTTAATACCAAAAAAAANAAAAAAAACGCTCCAGACGAACATTATCCCAACCAATTTACCTGCAATTTCTTATGAAACCTCAAATTCATCGACCTATTATTCTAATCTCAGTAAGAAACGCAAAGACAATCATTGATGATATCAAGCACATTACAAATACTCAAACAAATATACAGTGTATCATGCGGACGCTATATCCAATGAAACGAAAGAAAATAACAGAGATAAATCCGAAGATGAGATCGTGATTACATACCTATTCTCGAATACACTTTCCCTCGAAATTACTATGGTCACGAAATTATATGGATAACAATGAAATTGCATTCATAAATCATTGAACTGAATGAGTTAACAAAATGGATATCATAATAAAATTATAAGCAGACACACAGATACACTTAATGACATCTTTCTCGAGGCAGATTTAAGCAGTATTTTCAGTAGTTTGTTGGTGATAGATATGCATGAAGGAGGCGATTAATGCTTCCAAATGGAAAATTGCTTTATTGCCACGCGTTAGGTGATATTCATATTTGGCTGCGCTCTCGATCAACTCCGATTTCAACTTACCATCACAATATTGCAACAGCTCACGTAATATTTTCTGAAATAATTCGTTTGTTCAACTCCACTTCAACAAGCGTTTTCTAGTGGCAATTTGATTATCATAATAAATTTCATAACGAATTCATCTCAGCAACTATTTTACCGTTGAAACCTCTTGCAAAAACCATTACTGCAAACCTAAGTATAAAAACACTGAAAAACTCCTTACTATTACACATTATTATTATTCTGTTATTCCGTTTAGCATCTTATAATCATTATTTTATTGATATATCCGTTTATAACCACATTTAGTTACTAACTTGTTCTAAATTCATTAATAAATTTGCACATCGCAACTCAAATCCACTTATTCATTTAAAAGCAAAAGGAGCAGAAAAATAAATAATGATGGAGAACCAACAATGATGATGATATCTGCCGGTATACAACGACCCAAGCATTCATACATCCGATTGCGAATCTTCAGCAAGCTGAAAATGAAAGTTCTCATTCCTACTCAACAAAAATGAATAACCAACTAAAACTAAGATTCAAAAGTGCGGCTTCCACAAAAAAAANAAAAAAAATCATCAAAAAATGTAACCAAACGTACTTTTCGGCACTTTGCTCCTGAACTATCATTTTAGCTGTCTCCTCCAAATAAATTTCCCAATCTGGTGCTGGAGCAGTTTGATTTTCTTTAAACGGATAACTGCAATGCGATGAAGTCCGATAGATTTGAAGACTTTTGCAATTAGCAAAGGCAATTAAGGGAGCATTAATCAAAAAAAATCAACAATCGTAAGGAGAGGAAATAGGAAGACAAAAAAACAGAAATAGTTTTTTTCAACTCTTGAAATGAACATCAACTCTTGGAATTCCAATTAATTGCTGATATGTTGACGGGTACGTACTTGATCCAATCTGGGGGCTTGTCAAGGAGGATCACTTCGTAAAAAAAGCAACAATATCATGAACTATACCCTTGCGCTTTGGCTGCTTCGAGCATAAGCAGTGCCCTCCGTAGATTGCCGGATGATTTCTGAATCACCGATTCAAGCACACTCTCAGGTGCAGAGATGTTCTCAGCTTTGCAAACAGTCCTCAACACATCAGCAATCTGCAGAATACACTTCGTGAACTTGTAACATTCAATACATTTGCAATTTGAATGAGTCAACACCGTTGCAATCGGAGTCAATCGAAAAATTCTGTGTGGTTATTCACTTTCAACAGTAATTGAAAGCAAAGTGATCCTCATTCAGCAACGAAATGAACAAAACTGAATTTCAAAATTTACAACACGATCGTATTTCCCGTCATCGAACGGGAATGCATAAAAGACTGCGTTTGCTGAAGACATCAAGAGAGAACAAATAAAATTAAAACACTCTCAGAATATATATTGAAAAACCATTATCGCTGTCAACTTATGCGATTATGGTTGTCAACCAACGAAAATAATCTTATCAACAAACGTACGTCATGATCAGATGGTGCCGCAATGCGTACAACCATACACCTACTTCTCAACGGATCAATCAGTTTCGTTATTGATTCACAACACAGAATCAATCGACAACTCGACGAATATTTTTCCATCGTACGACGAAGCGCATGCTGGGCATCACGCGTTAACTGTTCTATCTCCATCAGCACAACCACTTCAATTAGGAATACTACTACTACTACTCTCATTAATATCACATTTATTATTAACACTTATACGCACCTCAACATTACTGCTTTCATTTGGCTGAGTTCATCATCATCAAAAAAAAATCAATTCACTCATTTCATTTCGCACAATATTGGCACTAACAAGAACTGATCCCTGTTTCATGAATAATCCTCAATTAAATAGCGCAACGAAATTGATTTGCACAAGTTCAAAAACTACGAATAAACGATAAAAAATGTAAGCGCCTTCAAATCACCTTTGAATGGCCTTTGTGCCACTGAATCAATCTGTTGTGTTTGTGCCATTTGCTTAATGACTTCTTGCACGACAACTCGATCATATATTCCAACGTCACTACAAAGTCAATACATCTGTACAGATAACGGTTATATGTATACATCGTAAGGGCAATAAACACAGATCAGTGCGTGAAGAATTTCAAAAAGGAACAACGTCAACGAATATGAAACTCAGATACAGATAAAAGCTTCGAAACTAACCCAGGACTAAGCTGCACATGATAGTTGCTGCTCACAGTTTGAATTTCAAGTTTCTTGCCGTTCGGTGTTTGAAAACTTTTCATATTCAGATTCATCTTCTCCACTCCGGCTCCGTACAGTTCCCGAAGAATACACTGGATTCGCGTCTTTTTGCCAGCGCCACTCGGTCCATAAACGATCAAATGCGGAAAATCGCCAGCCTTAAACAAGATGACTTCACTTGAAGATAGGTAAAATTGGACTGAGGCAGAATTCAAAATAAAACCAACATTCACAACCAACGTAGATGAATTGAACTAATAGTAAATAAGTAAAAATTGTTAAAGTAAAATCTTAAAATGAAATCTGTGCTCAATCTAAGCACTGAAGGAATCATCAACTCCTTGCGCATTCTAAAATCATATCAATACTGAAGAGAACGAATGTACTGTTTGATCACTCTCGCATGGTAATTTTTCGTTTCAATCAAAACAGTAAGAATACCGGTTCTACTCAGCATACCTTAACAATATTCGCAAGATTGGCCGCTTGACCCAGATGATAGGTCAACTCGGACAATTGTCGTGGTCTATACTTGTCAACCCATAAAGCCATTTTGAAAGATTTTACGACTTTAATACTGCAATTCATTTCTTGTAGTTTATCTCATCATATGTAAATTATTTGAGAGATGGATCGCGACCTGATCCTATACGGCATGTTATAATTATTAGTGAATATCAAACAACTCTAATGATTCATAGTGGTCGGATGCGTTTTGAAAAATCGCTGAATTCATACGATTTTCATCACATTCATAACACCACAAATGCAGTTCATTTCGACTGGTAGACAATAATTCATTATTATCAATCTACTGGACAGTTTGCTGCCTGAGGAAACCGACAGCGAACAAACTGATCACTCGATGCATCTCATATTCTTCTACCTTGCAACAATTCCTTCGATTTCATTCCACTAATCAGTTGAGTACACCCTACTTGATCATTCCACTGATGACATGTTCGACAAATATTGTGTACGTACGCAAACATACAAATGTTCAGTGATTCACGTTGACACTATAGAACAAGAACGGATGTTCAAAAACAACTGACGCGTACGAATATATAACAAGAAATTTTATGTTTATCATTTAATCATGTCATCACATTTCAATTATATCGCAATACGTTTCAAGTCTTTTCGAAATTCGTTAAACACATAAAGAAAGGCAAAAGATTACAAGAAAATAAAAACGAAGTGTGCGTATAAATGAATACAAGAAATTCGCACAGAATACCTTGATCATATATGCTCTCAGGAAAACTTAGGGTAAAAAGCGTTTGAAATTGAAGATGAAATAAATAAACCAATGAACAAATAGATATGACAAAGCATCATGAAAACGAGGACAGTTGATCACATTGATAACTTCATTCAAAGAATAGACGAGGTGAAAAGCGTGTACATGTATTCGACAAAAACGGAAATGATGCTTCCTAAATTCTCCTTTCAGATTTTCATTCGAAAATTATTTTTATCACACACACACTCACATTCAATCAATCAATCAAACTCAATCAAGATATTGAGATAGCCATCTGAAACCTTCACCGTAGCCTTGTCGCCTTAATACCGAACACATGAACACCTCTAGTGGGCGTGAGGATAAGTCTGAACGCGATATCTGACCCTGCAAAAAATTGAGCGACTTGCACGAACCAGAAAATACATTTAGGAAAAATGCATCTTTCGTACGATTATTGATTCAATGCATTTCGATATGGATTTTGCCATGAATCAACATGGACTTTTATAATACCTGTTCAATAATTACTAATTCACTGATGGGAAAGTGAAGGGACATTGATGAGAAAGGACGAGGAACAATTGTAAAATGATATTATCGTCGACAAAATAACCTTTCCAGTCGTCACATTGGCAATACCCAAATGCCATTTCAATTGTTCTTCACCAAGCGCATTCGGTTTATCGATTTTATTGCCGAGCACAAGCACTGGACAAGTTATCACTTGTTCATCAGTTAGAAGACTCTCCAACTGCAATTAAAATACCAGATGATAATATACTCGTTCTCGATTGTCATTAAAAACAATAAGGGAAGCGTCCAATTGCATGTATAAGCCAACCTCAAAAATTCTAACTGATGCAGATGAAAGTCACAAAAAAATTAAAACTGCCAATAGCAAAGAAACTAAAATTCCTGTAAACAAACAATTCAAAGAGAGAACTGACCTCACGTTTACTTTCTTCGATTCGATCTAAATCGGCGCAGTCGACAAGGAATACAACTGCGTCAACTGCTGGGAAATAATCTTTCCACACTCGACGGGCTGAAAATTTTACGCACTGCAGATATTCAAAAATTGACTGGTTCTAATTCAATATACATTTACTTGTTAAACATTTAATAAATACACAAAAAATCCACCAAGACGACAAAACGCCATTATGAAAAACGACACTCAACAAAGTTTCTAGATGTTATCAAACGTTTCTAGATGTTATCATGATGCCATTATACATTTCGAGTCACTCGAATCATTGAATCTCTGTCTCAATAAAATACTCACAAATCATGATACTGAAAATTGCTATTTTAGCGACAGACCTTAAGCAGCTAAAAATATCACAACCACTAACAAATTGAAAGGAGCAATTAGAGGTGAAATAAAATTAAACTGAACCTTGTTCGTGCCCACCAAGATCGAAAGTTGTGAAACGAATACCTCCAAGTGACAGCTCTTCAGATGCTGCAAGCAGCTTATCAGCAATGAAACGTTCAAAGCATGACATGGATGATAACTGACAAATCTGGCATCGAAATCCATTTTCCACAACTTATCACCAACAATTCTCATGAGGTCAGTACACAAAAAGACCAACTGGATTTTAAAGATGAATGCTAAATACAAATGGGACAGAACAAACTTGGATGCAAAGTGGGAACATGCTGCGCCATACGGTCATCTTTTAACATATGCAGTAATGTCGTTTTACCGGCGTTATCCAGACCCAGAAATACTAATTTGCCATTCTTTTTCGTCAGCCCTGGAATGCAGATATAGAAATCCACACGGGATAATCAACAATCAGATTTGAACTGAAAAAGTTTTAGTAAACAACGAAGTTTGATCGGTCAAAACAATCAATAATGAGGAGAGTCCAACTGATACAATCATACTTAATACATTACGTCATTCTGAATCATTTGTCACCATGTTTTGTTCAATGTTAAGTGCACTTGAAATCCATTCAGCAGTTTTCCGTTCAGTCGGTAAACATGATCTATCGTAAGTTCATTGATGAGCACTCTTCTAATCTGAGCATTTCTTCTGAAGATTCAGTTTGGAAGCTGATAATGCGGGCGGACGGAACTTGAAATGAACCAAAACCTGAACTAACCGAGGTAATTTAACAACCCAGACATCCAATCCCACAAAAAGGACATCGTCGGTAAGCGTGAATAAATAAATAAAGTACCACGTCCGCAATATATGATGTCTTGAAAAGCGCCAACTGTACACTTCTTCTATAAATGTCATCGGTGCGAATTCTGAACGATGTTCGCAATCGTTTGCACAAACTTCGTTTCGGTGAAAAATCTTCTCAAAATGTTTCTTCATAAATGTGTGATTAAGCACAGTACTTCGTTATTTCCCAACAATGAATAAAATGGTAATAAGATTGTGTGAACAGTGAGTGCTGTATACGATAACAGCAACGTACAAGTTAATCTTCTAGTTGCTGAGAAATTTATCAGATAAAAATGTATTACCACAAATACTGACTGATTGGCGAATGCATTCAGTGACTACGAGCAATTTCTTTTTTCAGTGTACTACAAGCATTTCCGTTATCTTCAACCGAATCTTCACGTTTAGTTACGCAAACTTTGGCCTTGGTCAGTTCTCAGCTTACAATTAGATAATAATATTGCTTCCAGAAAATCAAACCTTACAATTTAAAATTTGTCTAGTTGAAATTGTGGACGATAACGTGTCAGTTGCAGTCAAATGCATAAATGCAAAATAATGCATTGCTAAGGATATGGGTCAGTGAAACGAAATATCTTGCAACTGTGTAATAGTCTCCGCTGCCCTCATTAATTTCAACTTTTTGCATTGTTTCTTGAGCGATCTCGTTCTAAACTTGACACAATGAAACTGTTACAATCCCTCTCATTTCAACAATAAATGAATTGAGATTGTGTCGGAAAGGAAAATGGTTTGTTGACGAACTGATTCTGATTTGTGATGACGACGTAAAATAGAGGTTTTAAGTACTAAAAGGTTGGAAATGATTTCAGCCATCTGTAAAGGTCGAGAATTCACTTGAGCATATTAACGACTATTTTCATTGCTCAATGTAAACATTTCGTCGCATGTGTTCCGCTAGAATGGATGTTTATTGCAATCAGCGTTCTCTCACATCAGTGAATGTTGACAGATTACGATGAAACGTGAACACTGTGAAAGTCATTTGTTGATACAGTAGATAAATATCAGTTCACCTACACAATTGTTTAAGCAATTAAGTTTGATCTTTTGAAGGAATTGACAATTCCATGAAAAGTTACTATTTTTCTACGAACAATTCCAAAAAGTGCTCATAATCAGTCATGGATGGGTATAGAATTGATGCTATGGACTGAGAGTAGTGATGGTACTGGTCGAACATTTAAAAAGTACTAAAAGTGTTGAAGACGCGTCATATGGGAGGATCGGATTCCATATCAGAGGATCGGATTTTACAGATGCTCCATTACTATTTTTGATGATCTGGCAGGCTGCCGTTACCCTTCCCCCTACCCTGATATCAGAACTTACTATTTCTACGTGTAATGTCGGGAACAAAAGAAAAACCAGTCCGGAAATTTCTCAGCGGCGTGAAAGAAACTAGTATCCTAGACCGTTGTGTTGCTCATTATTGCAATCGATTATGATCACATGAAAAGCTACTGTCTATGACAGGCTCATTTCAAACTGATTTAGACGAATTCTCATTCTTTTCAGACGTGTTGTATTCACTCTCATAGCTATT